GATACTTCATTAATACTCACTAGTTAACCAACGTTGGTCCTAATCTTGTTTACTCATTAAAGGAAATGAAATGTGGGTTTTTTTACCAAAGTTCCACAATTGTTGTCTTTTACCAATTTACTACACTTGTTGCTTTTATCAAAGCACTTTAAACAAAGAAAAAGACAATGTTTTTATTTATTTTTAAAAGGTTATTAACGTTTAATATAAAAATAATGACTCTATCGCAGAGTTTAAAATGTTAATTATTTGTAAATAAATTTTATATTATAAGCAAGGCCTGAAATATTAATTAAATGGTTAATTAACCAGTCGATTGATTGATTGTTCTTTCACTTGGTCAAAAGGTAATAATTTTTATGTTCTAAAAATTTAAAAATAAGTAATAATAATAAAATGACACATGTCTAAAACATGATTGGACAACAATCTGTTTTATCACAATATTTAAAATGTAAATCATATTACAAATAGTAATACACCATTTCCCTCAGCATCTTCAGCAACACCTGTAATTTTTGAATCTGATATCCAAAAACCAGCACCAGTTTTTTTCAATGTAACTGCTTCTACTACTATTTTTTTTATTTATTAAATCATCAAGTAAGTGAAATGCCTGTTTTGAATTCCTAATTGTTCTATCAAAATTTTCCTCATAAATTGAAAGTGAATTCAATTTTTTGTCAATTATTTTTTTATTCTTCAATTGAAGAAAAATTCCAATTACATCATCTTGAACAATGATATTATCTTCTTCTAATTCTTCAATTGTTCTCCTAATGATATCATTTACTTTAATTGCATCTGTAGTTACATTGGTTAAGCCTGGGTTGTCAACAGCTCTACATTGACAATTACTACAGTTACCACAGGAATAAGACACAGTATCTGCTGACCATGCATAAAAGTTAAGTAATTTTTGTTGGAAGCATTTATATTATTCTTCACAAAAAAATTATTTCATGAAGGCTTTGGAAGCTATTTATCTTTTTATTTTATTCATTATTTGTTCCTTAAAGCTAAATTATAATAATAATATTTAATAAACTTTTTAGTTTTCTCATTCTTATTAAATGGTGATATTTAAAGTAGCTTTTTGTTAACGCCAATTACGGCTTGACTTTCGGATTACTCTTGCCAATTAATCGCAATAATTCAGTGCTTGTCAATTAATTAGTTTATGAATTTATTTGGGTTCTCCTTGTACCTAAACGAGTTTGTAAGCATATTTAATGGTGCCAGATAACTGTAAATAAATAAAATGGCTTCAAAGGTTCTATAGAGTTCCTTGTGATCGGTTTATTTCAGTCATTTATATTTATTGGTCGATTGCAAACTCACTTTGATTTTATTTGCAAAACAACTTAAGCAGCTTGTTTAACAGCCTTACACTAATATTTCCGATTAACCTTGGACGATACTTCATTAATACTCACTAGTTAACCAACGTTGGTCCTAATCTTGTTTACTCATTAAAGGAAATGAAATGTGGGTTTTTTTACCAATAAATACATGAACCCATACTCATAAAAAAATTTAACAATACATGATAAAAGAATTAACATCCGACAGCACCAAAAAGAGAAGAGGCTTTGTATAATTCATTGAATTTAAAATACTATTTTGCAGTGTTGGGAATTGGACTGGCAATTTTGTCAATACTGCAATTTGAGTTAATTAGTTAGTGTATTTGATAATTTAAAATGGTGGTAATGGTGATATGGAATTTATTTCACAGTTTGTTGATGAAATAAACAATATAAACAAAATCCAAATATAATGTTGCTCCGGTTAGATCAAATTTTGACAGAATCACAAATAAACTGGAAGTATTTATTAATGATGTAATTGATTGATGAAGTAAGAAGTAATGAAAATTATCTTTGTTTATTTCTAGAAATAAGGATGTCATTTTAATGATGGTTATTATCAAGTAAATGATTTTGAATGGTGATAAAAGTGGGACAGGGACAAGGATAAGTATGAGTAATGGAGTTTCAAATAAAGAAGATAGTAGTATTAATATTGAAGAGCGTGACAATAATGTTGGTTTCCAAAACTAGAGAGTTTCGTCAACTGTGCGAAAGTCAAAAGGTTTCGCCATAAGTCAAAACTAGTTTTGACCTTTGACCTTTGACTTTTGATTTAGTTTTGACATAAAAATTTTAATTTTAGTTTTGACTTTCGCTTCTTCAAAATTGTTTTGGCAATCAACACTAGTGGCAAAGGAAGGTCTTAGAAGAGGGTGTACCAAACGACATCAATGGATTATCTGCGAAAATTTAAATCTACAAGGAATACTATCAGAAACTTGCTTGACACAGAGGAGCAAAACGTGCGAATTTATAAAAATGATAATAACAATTATAGATTTATGAACATTAATAACAACAACAATAATGGTTTTCTTTTTTTTTTCTTTTAGGATACGATTACTTATGCGGAACATGAAAGCTTAATACAATTGTTGTGCGTGAATTTGGGAATCTGCGTCAATTTGAAAATTCACACGTGAAATTCAAATTAGCCAATCAGAATTTTGCATTCAAACGCCCAAAAATTAATATTCAAATTGCACAACACAATCACTCACATCTATGGATGTTGGTAAGTTAGTTCGCAGCATATTGTTATATATCATATTATAAATCCGTTAATTACCTTCGATCATTATTAATTAATTAAATTCTAGTGATTCAACAATGAAATAATTTTAGCATTATTTTTTTGTTTCTATTTTATCATTTTTAAAACTTCAATTAAAACTTATAAAACCTGTGCTTTGCTTACTATTTATAATAGTGAGTGACAATATATAATTTCTACATATATATTTATATATTCATAACCTAATGTAAAAGTATATACATATATATGTTGTGGAAAAAACTGCGGTGACGAAAAATACCAAGTGCCATTTTTTTGCAACATTGTAATAATTTATAAATATACATGAATCCGTTTTGGAAGAGAAAAAAGATTCGAAGAAAATTTTATAATTTTAAAATTGTCACGAATAAAAATATATATTAGACCTATATGTGAACTATAACACTAACTTAATACATCTATATTATTAATATACATATAATCCACAAAGGTATATGCTTCACATACAAATAACGATCCATGAATGCATGTAATAATATGCTGTTCACATGTTGTTCACATGTAGAATTCACATATAATTTTAGAGGTGTTTTTCTGACGAATACGACTCAACCGAACCATGAAGTCTTATAATGAAATTGGTATGTTAGTGGCAGTAACTCTACTTGATAGTTATTAAGGCATTCATCTTAAACAAAGACTTGATATCATCAAATTCCGCCGTCTAAAGGGATCGCATTCATTAGCCAAACTTTTTTAATGATAAACAAATAATGTACCACGCGTGATCAGACAGGTATACGCTTTTTCACAAAGTCTAAACAATCATGCATCAATTGGCGTAAATCCGGTTACTCTACACAGCGTAGCTAAACTGAGTATTATCTTACATAAGGACCTTCAACAAATTATACACTATATCCGCACGATCATATATACCATCATATTTGAACTCCAAATAAATATTCTTACTAACACAATGTTCTAATCCTTTGTCTATTTCAAAGCCTCAAAGTATCGCATCATTTGCTGTATAACTTTTTTAACATCTTTACGAAATGATTTACCTCCTCTTTAGTTTATTCATTCATCTATTCAACAAGCAGTGCAATTCTAATAGTAGCAAGGAGTGAGTGTCCAATTTAACAGAAAAGTTTCCATTTTTTTAAGATAGAAACTTAGTTAAAGTCGATGTAATAGTGTTAACGGTAAAATTACTTATAAATGCAAGTAGGTATAATTTTGCTATATTTTCATTTTTTAAAACGTTTTCATTCATCTCTTTCTCTGATTTTCAAAAAATGGATAATGCAAGGCCAAGAAAGTTTCACACAAAGAAATGCATGGGTTCGATATCATAATACAGGAATTTTTCTTTTCAAATGGTGTAAAATTCAAATTTTTATAACTTTTGAAAGAAAAAATTTGCCAAATTAAAAGTATATATATATATATATATGCTTGGGTCATAATTATTTGCATTCTTGTTTATTGTTGATTAAAAAAGAAATAAACGTTCCAAAACTTTTGATCAAGTACTGACTACATGTGAAAAGTGGTGAGTTGGTTGTAAATGCTCACTGGCTTGTTCCACTCGAAGCTCATAAATTTTCTGGGCTTGAAGGCTTTGTCAAAAGTCGACTATGTGGCGGTGTGGATACATTTGCGTTTAGTGAATCTGGTTCATTCAACCTTTATCATGTCTTTTAAAAAATCATCCACTTTAAAGAATTATAAAGGTTGATTTTATATTATTTTTTTTGTTGGAAAGATAAAAATAATGTCATTTCGAGGCCTGGATAATTTTCTCTTTGCAATGATGTCAATGTATCTTCTTCCTGTGAGTTTGACCTGCAAAAGTTTGAACATTTTGTAAATGGGTGGGAATTCGTTCGCTTGAATGCCTACGAATTTATCCAAGGCTCACTTGATAAAATTTAATTCACTTTTTGGGATACTTCAAATTTCTTAAGTATAAGGGTCAACTTAAAAATATTTACATCTAATAGATAGATGGATTGATTAATAGAGAGAATAATAAAATAAAAATTTTTTTTTGTCAATAAAAAGAGTAAAGAGCACATGCTACCTATGATAATAGACATTTGTTATACGAATCTAAAAATTTCATTTATTTCTCCTGACCCATCATCATTATCACAAATTAAGTGGGTGACGTAACAGAAAATATTTTTGCTTGTTATATTATATTATTATTGGCCCGATTTGTATTTTCATTTGTTATATATGTTGTAAACTTGTTTGCTTTGTTTTGTCTTACATTGTAAATGGAGAGTTTTTATTATTTCCAACCGTTATTATTATTTAATTAATATAGCTTACAAAAAAAAAAATAGATATATTCAAGAAATTATTCAATATTTACTACTATGGAAGAAATTCGATCTTACACCCTCACTGATAATGGTTAGTCTATATTAATATATATATATTTATTTTTTTATTTGTGGAATAAATTTAGTCCAATAAAAATAATTCAAAAAAATTATAGTTACAGGAGATGTTGATTATTATAAAAAATGCATTGAATTGCAAAAAGAAAATAACGAATATAAGAATATAATAGAAATCATAGAATATGAAACAACTAAATCAAAAGAAAATGAAAAAAAATTACAAGAAGAGTTATCCGGTGAAAAACAAAAATCTGATTATCTAAATAATTCTTATAAACAATTAACCAAGGAAAATTCTGATTTGCAAAAAATAAATGAGGAAATCAAGAATATAATGGAAGTAACAAAATATGAAAAAAACGAATCAATAGAAAATGGAGCAAAATTACAAGAAGAATTATCCATCATAAAACAAAAATTTAATCATCTATATGAAGCTTACGAACAATTATCTAAACAAAATGCAGAAGATAGAAGGATTGATGAAATTGATGAAGTTGCTATGGGTAATAATAATAAAAAAAAAAATTATCAAGATTAAAGATCTAAAAAACTTGAACAGAGAGCTAGTAAATAAAAATAGGAAATTGATGAAAGAGGCTTCATATCAAACAATTTTAGGAGATGGATTAAAGTTCCGCATAAGTGACGATCATGAAGATAATTCAGCTCATCTTGCAACTGATGTGATTAGTTTACAGGAGAGCATTGAGAAATATGTTACTAATTTAAAGGGCTCTTCTATGGTAATCAACTTTGAGACAGTTCAAGAATTATACAAAAGATATAATGTGCAAGCTCAAAATCTAAAAGATAAAATTTTGATGAAAGCAGTACTACAACGTTATATTCTGGAACAAGTTTTGAAATGGGCAGATGATTATTTTGAAGTTAAAGAACATGATGATTTAGATCATCCTTCTAATCAAGAAAAATATATCGTAAACCATACAAATCAATTATTGGATTTTCTTAATAACCAATTTTATCCTACTAATTTCATACAAGATAATAGTAGTATGGTGATTAAAGACATTCCAACAAAAATACGACAGTTTACATATCTCGCATTAACTGAACTTGGATTCTCTGGAACTGAACAAGAACATTCATTTATATCACGCACAGCAAAAAAACTTAATCGACTAATGACCAGATATCGTGTTATCAAAGATGAAAATAAAAGAAAGAATGTAGAAGACATGGCAGAAGGTCTTGTCAAAGAAATTGTCAGGATATTTAAATTCTTATTATTAGTTCAAGAACCTAAATGCAAAGTACATTGGTTTACGAACAATGCAAAGCTAGATTTTAGATTTATGAAAGTTTTATCATGGGATGATGGGAATGTGGATGATTATGTTATGGAGATTTGTTTTTTTCCCTTTATAGGAATAATGGATTCGGATGGCAATCCTAGTAAATTGATTACTCATGCAAGAGTCTATCCTCGAAATATTACAAACCCTCAAGAAACACAAGATATGTCGAAGAATATATCATCAGCAGTATCAGAAAACTTGCTTCAATCTGAAAATCTACAAGATGCAGAATGAAAATGGGGCCATTGATATGTTCCAAGAGTTTTTCTTGGATTCCATTGTCATTACAGAAAAATATTGTGATAAAATTTTTTTTGTTGTCTAAAATTAATTTGATTTTTTTCCATTGAACAATTTATTTATATGACATTTATCATAGTTTTTAATAATAATAAATCTAAAAAAGAAAATTCATCATCTTTATTTTCTCTTTTACGATTACGATCTCAAAATTCTTTTTTTAATAAAAAAAAAAAGAACTTAACATGCACACGTAGACACATGACAATACGCATAATCAAAATAAATTGAATCGAAATAAAATTAATGATTGCTCATTATTATTACATCGAACTCCGGGAATCCCATTAATATCAAAGAAACCAAAGCATCAATGAAAAGATGTACCGATCTTGACTCGACCATCGTATCCTCATCATCATTTACCAACACTAGTAGAACTACAACGTTCAGAACTAGATAATACAATATCATAATAAAAGTATGTGTATATATGTATGCGTTGTACATATATATATATTAATATGTAGATACATATTTGAGAACTTTGTTAGAATGTGAGAGGTGTAATATGTGTTAAAAAGTGTATGTGTTTTCATATATTTCAAATCTTTAAATTTTTTTCTTTAAATATCTCTGAATTTTTACTTGTATTATATATTTGGATTTAATCCTTGGAAATAAATATGACAAGCATGTTGTTGCTATAGAGAAAAGGAAAAAAAATTTTTATATGAATAATGAAATAATGAATAATGAATAATGAATAATGAATAATGAATATAATAATGAAATAAGAGGCCATTGTAAAATACTATATAAATTATAAAAATTCAAAAAAAGTAAATAATTTCCTTTCTTCGTTAATTTGTTATTATACGCATTTCTACCAAATCAAAACGAGTTAATGTATTACGATTTTATTGGTCACACGTGACCAGCAAAATAAATAGCATGGCATGACATTAACGAATTGAAAAGCCAACATACACACTTTAATTGTCTTTAATATAAATTATATACATCTGTGAATCAGTTAAACATCTATTTTCGTATAACAAGAATATAATACAATAATAAGTATTACCAAACTCGGTTAATACTAGTAGGTTATAAGTTGCCTGCTAAAGTTCATGCAAGTAACAAGATGTGCGATATCATATAACCTTTAAAAGATGCATATCTCATCTCAAAACATTATTCATTTATGGTGAATGAGCGAGCGAGTGCGAGAGTTTCCAAGCTAAAAGAAAATGATTCTTCTTGGAAAAGACGCGCGCGCACGCACACACACGCACACACACATATAAAAAGTATTTTTGATTGAAAAATTGGCTGTGCGAAATTAAAAATGGGGTTCTTTTTTGTCGCACGGAGTTTTTCTAGAAAGGATTGTTTGCATGAGAATGGCGTGTGTGTATGTAACGTTATTTGTTGCAATTTAATGTTATTTACTTCATTCGGGGTCTAATTTGCAATCTGGTTCATGTGAAACTGTCAGCTGATGCAAATTACTGAAGAGGAAAAAGACAAGACAAGCATAGTAACGGACATCTGAAACCAACTTATCTATTTAAATATTGTTGATTGGATATTATTCGTCATGATTATCGGTTTTTCATTGAATTAGAGTTTCACGTTCCTTGAATAATTTACGGGTTGGTGTATGCAAGAAGGAGACAATATTAAAGAGGTAAAGTGGAAACAAAGTATTGTTTATTGATTGATTGATTGATTGATGTGTGTGATTTCAGTAACGGTAATTATATTAACATGAGGATTGTTATGTAAACAAATATGTACTAATTCCTTGCAAGAACAAATCATCACCTAAATAATATTCCCGATTAAAAATAAGCTTAAATTTCTCTAGGTCATTTATTTTCGCTATAGTCAGTAATAAATAAATAAATAAACGGGTTATTTGTTATTGTCGTAATCGTTGTTATCTGTTATTATTATGACTTTGACTATTATTGTACAGGATCAGTTCCATAAATAAAAACGCGTAATTCTTTGTTTTATTTGTTTATCATTAACAAGCCATTTAATCCAAAAGGGTTGAACAGCCAACCGTAAACAAAATAAAAACTAGATGAAGCAGAGAGATATTTATTATTTTTTCGAAAAAAAAAAAAAACAATTGATTTTATTGTACTTTATTATAAAATACTTTTTTTATTTAATACTAATATTAATTTATGCACATTTACATACATGTGTTCCTTGAGGAAAAAAAAAAAAAAAGAAATTTTTTATGCAGGTCATTTTTTTAATTGAGTTTGAAATGACCTTTAAATGATTCGATGTGAATTAATTTCCGAAAAAAGGAGAAAGTACACCGCTGCTGCGTTCGGTTATTTAAACAAAACACAAGCTTCTAGACTACACGCGCGTACGAGTATATTAAAAAAAAGCCATGATTTAAAAATCGATATTATTATTATTATTACTATTATCATCAATAACCATTCAATTACTACAATAAAGAGGCAAAGTCTAAAATTAATTAATGCGTGCGTAATTGTTGTTATCGTTGCGTATAGTTGGTTGGACGGTTTGATTGACTGGTGAATGGGGGGATTATTGATTATATTGATTTGCTTGTCAATCATTGTAAACTAAGATGGCATCTATCCGTTAACAATCATATTTAGTTAAGCATTAAAGTTATTTACAAATAAAAAACTCTCTCGCACAAATTATATTCCTTGAGAGTAATAGGAAATTACCAACCGACAGACACGCATAAATAATCATTGTTTGTTAACTATATGATTTTTCTGATTGAAATTTGCATTCTGTATGACAAAATAATTACAAAAATGGCAAAGAAGGTAAAAGGAATATTTGGCAATTGATGTTACAATTAAGAAATCCTTGAATGTTCCTGAAAGCGTAAATTTTTCGGTGGTTTTAATCAACCAAATTACCAATCGATTAATTAATTAATCAACTAATCAATTAATAGCCAAGATAAATAAAAAGGTAATCGCTGAGCATTCGCTGAGTTCAATGGTAGAAATGAATTTTTAATTGTTTTTAAATGAGAGTTTTAAATATTACATGATAATAGTTGTAATGGAACCTTCGATATGCTTGTATAATAAAAATTTATGTTTTTGTTTGTTTATTATTTTAATCGTAAGATAAATAAAAATTTTTATTGAAAACTAATTTTGAATTAATTAAATTAATTAAATATATTTATTCATTTTATTTATAATAATAATAGGTTTACTAAATATATAATAAATATATTTTTAAAAATAGATTGCTCTAACTAAAATTATTTTTTAAATTAGAAATAAAATTTATTATCGAAAAAAAGTTTACGCGTAATCTGGTATAGCAATTGGTGTGTTTGTAAATTCGTGAATTCTCCAACATCATGTTATTTTTGAGAATGTTCCAAGTTGTAAATTGGAGATTTTTTTATTCATTATCACTTTTATTCATGTTCCTTAATTACAATTACCCTGTTTCATTGTTACTAAAAATAAAAAACATTACATCAGTTGTGATCAATTAACGGGCGAATAAATCAATTCTTAATTATCAGTCATCAAGAATTATTTGATTGGTGAATCATTCATTCTTAATTAACTAGTGAATTTGTTGATACTTTGACAGAAGCTATAAGTGTCAAAGAAACATATTTATTTACCAATTATAGAAACTATTTTTTAAAATTTCCAAATTTAGTAATTTTATGGTAAAATATGTAGATCACATCGAAAGAATGAATGAATGCTAAAATAGTTTTGCATTGTTTATTGTCAATTAAATTTGAATTTTCTTTGAAACACAAATTTAGATTAATACAATAATTTCATCTAATAGAAAAAATTAAACAAAATTGAATATATATATATAACTAGTCACTGTGGATAATAAATATAGGTAAAAAACAAAACAATATTCTAAACTACAATGTAATTTTTTTTAATTTTTATTTTTTCAAACGTATTAAAAAATATCACTAATTTAGAAATTAATCATTAAGCGTGTGGAAATTTTACCTTTTTTTGATCGAAAAGAAATTATTTACAATTAAAATATAAAAGAACAAGAAGTAGGGCTGGTTGATTGGTTAATTAATTAATTTAGTTAATTAATTCCTTCGCCCATTGTAGAAAAAAGAAGACCAACAAATGTAAAGATAATTAATCTCCGAACTCGTTCATTCTTTTAAAAATACTAATATTAATGAATGTACGATGAACAAGCAAAGATTCTTCCATTCATCACCTTGCATTGTCATTTATTGATATTTATGGTAGCATATATACACCCAGTGATTTTCTTTCGTCATAACTACCATTTAAAGAGAGTTCATTAATCCCGTTTTAGGATTTCAAAACGAAGGCGGGCTCATCAATTATTATTATCATCTATTAATAACCATTACCAATAAAAAACTGCACTTGATATCAATTACAACTCTCTGACAATCAATGCTTTGTAGTATTGATAAGCATAAATATCTTGAATTGTTCTTGAATTTACCACATACATAAAGATCAAGCTGATGCTGTTGTTGATGTTGATGCAAGAAGATGTAGAAATTTGTGATTTTCAGGCGTGTCATTTCAACTAGTCGTCTGATTGGTGGTACCTTGCATTTTATTTTAGTGACAAATTAATCATTTTTTAAACGAAGAATCAAGTTACATGATATATTTTTTCAACAATCCGTTATTATTGTTAGTTTGGTTAACTAGTATCTGACAAAAATAATCTCAGATTGAGTTTATCATTGTTCATGATGTGTAAATATTTGCAAAAGAGTGAATTTTTAAGAATACAATGAATATTGAATCACAACAACACCGCCACCAATAAGAAACATTCATTTGTTGAACGCGGAAATTTATAAAATTCAAAATCTAAAATCTAAAATTCAAAAATCCAAAACTATTGTAATAATAATTGTAATAATTATTGTTATGCGTGGTTGCAATAAAAGTTGTGATGCAATAATTATAATGCAA